CCAGTCCTGACCGCCTTCTTTGTCAGGCCTTCGATGACTTCATCTTCGCCTTCTTCGCGGTGGAAATGGTCATCAAGATGGTGGCCCTGGGGCTGTTTGGGCAGAAGTGCTACCTGGGTGACGCTTGGAACAGGCTGGACTTCTTCATCGTCATGGCAGGGTAGGCCGGAGCCAGCGGGGTGGTGCCGGAGCCAGCGGGGTGGTGCCGGAGCCAGCGGGGTGGTGCCGGAGCCAGTGGGGTGGTGCCGGAGCCAGTGGGGTGGTGCCTGGATGGGCGTGAGGTGGGGGGGGCAGGAGGACTGTGAGCCATCCTCGGGGTCTGCGCGGGCGAGGCTCTCCTGTGTGGGACACCCCCTCCGCCCCCTCCCCAGCATGATGGAGTACTCACTGGACGGACACAATGTGAGCCTCTCGGCCATCCGCACGGTGCGCGTGCTGCGGCCCCTGCGTGCCATCAACCGCGTGCCCAGTAAGTACCTGGCCACCCCAGGCCTGGTCCCCGCCTCTCAGAGCCCAGGCCGTGCCAGGGGACAGCACCGCTCCAAACACACCAGCCTCTCCCTCTGTGTGGAGGCTGGCAGGCCCTCCCGGTGGGGCGGGGAGGAGAGCTGCGCTCTGCCCTGGGACGGAGCCCCAGCCCGGGGCGGGAGGAGCCTGGCCCGGGCAGCACCGGGCCGGGGCCACTGACAGCCCGTCAGGGCCGCAGCCACGAGTGGGCCAGGAGGGCCCTGCGTCTCCCACCCTGTGTGCAGACGGCTTGCAGGCGGTGGTCGGCGGTTTGGACGGCCGCTCTGGACACTGTGGTCTCCTGAGCGCCGCGGGGGGCTGGGTTTTCCATACGTGTTCAGCAGCCCAATGGAGCTGCTTAGTCTGGGGGTGCGAGCACAGTGCCCGAGAGTGGTGTGTGTGCACATGCGTGTGCAGGGTGCCTGGGCACGTGCACCACCGTTCCCTCTAGGTACCCTGGTCCTGAGGCCTTGGTACCAGGGCTGCTCTGCCCCTGTGGCGGTTACATCCATGGGGGGGGGGGCACCCTAGCCCAGCCCTGGAGCTGCCTCGTGGAGGCTGGTCTCCAGGGGGAAATCACTGACCGTCTCTGAGCTCAGTACTGTCACAGTGAAATACTCCCAGGCCCCGGGCAAGGTGTGGGGCGAGGGGTGAGGGGAGGGGCATGGGGGTGTCTGCACCCCATTGCTGCACTGTCTTCCCGGCAGCGCCGTGGGCTTCCGCGTCTGGGCCACCTGTTGGATGCTGGGTGGGTCTTGGGGCTGTCGCCTCGTCTGCCTGGGGCCACGCACCCCGTTGGCCCTGTGACCATGCAGGCTGTGGTGTCCTCCGGTGGCTTTCTCCATCGGCGGCCCGCCGAGCACAGAGGCCCCAGCTCATCCCCGCTCTGCCCCGGCCTCGACCGACCCCGCCCGGGTCCTGGGGAGGGGGCCGCACCCGGCCAAGGGTCTGGGAGGGGCTGGCCCCGGACCGAGCAAGGGACATCTGGGCCTGTGGGGACCCCCTTCCTAGATCGTTCACATCCCCACAGCCGTGACTCCAAGGAGCGGTGAGGTAGCACCCCCAGGCTGCCGGCCCCCAGAGGGCGGGGTTCCTCCCCTCCAGAAGGCACAGGCCGGGCTGCACGGCTGGGGCCTGCATGTGTGTGTGTGTGTCCGTGGCTGCGCGGCTGGGGCCTGCGTGTGTGTGTGTCCACGGCGTGTGGCTGGGGCCTGCGTGTGTGTGTCCACGGCATGTGGCTGGGGCCTGCATGTGTGTGTGTGTGTCTGTGGCTGCGCAGCTGGGACCTGCATGTGTGTGTGTGTGTCCGTGGCTGCGTGGCTGGGGCCTGCGTGTGTGTGTGTGTCCGTGGCTGCGTGGCTGGGGCCTGCGTGTGTGTGTGTGTCCGTGGCTGCCTGGCTGGGGCCTGCGTGTGTGTGTGTCCGTGGCTGCGTGGCTGGGGCCTGCGTGTGTGTGTGTCCACGGTGCATGGCTGGGGCCCGCATGTGTCCGTAGTGTGTGGCTGGGACCTGTGTGTGTCCGTGGTGCGTGGCTGGTGCCTGCATGTGTCCGTGGTGCGTGGCTGGGACCTGCGTGTGTCCACAGCGGCGTGCCGGGTGGGCGGGTGTGGGCCTTGGTTCAGGCTGTACCCAGCACGCAGCCCAGCCTGCCCCCACAGGCATGCGGATCCTGGTCACCCTGCTGCTGGACACACTGCCCATGCTGGGCAACGTCCTGCTGCTCTGCTTCTTCGTCTTCTTCATCTTCGGCATCGTGGGCGTGCAGCTCTGGGCCGGCCTCCTGCGCAACCGCTGCTTCCTGGACAGCGCCTTTGTCAGGTGTGCCCCTCCCCCGCGTCCCCCCCCCCGCCTGGCCAGCTGGCCCCCCGGGGCCACCCAAGGCGGGGGCGGGGCACGTGTGCTGTGAGCCAGCGCTGCCCACAGGCCCAGGCTTCAGCTCTGCTCTCAGATTCTGGCACTTTCCTGGGGTGGGGGTAAGGCAGTGGGG